TCGCTTAGAAAAGTCATAGCACACCATTCCCGAATATTCCGCACGTTTTGAGACCTCATTCATGGGTGTGTGACAAAAACTGCGGGAGGAGTAGCATGCCAAACTTTTGGGCCGGCTCAAAAAACACAATAGTAATAGTGTTGCCTTGCTTTCAGCAAGCACCACTAATAATGAAACTGCATTAGGGGTGGAACGGTACAGAAGTCACGGTTGGGTCGGGTTCATACCTTGGTTCAGACATTCAGACGGTTCGGTACGATTTCGGACAATGGAGTGAAAAGCAAAACAAAAATGCAGAAGGCATTTTTTAAATGTCTTAAGCCTCGTATTTTTTAAGTTGTTTAAGTTTTATTAATAAAGGCATAGAACCAGTTTATTTGTAGGCACTGACAAATTTTTTATATAATTAGTTTATTAATTAAATTAATAAAAAGACAAAATGACCTTGATATATGTTTGGTAATTGTACTTGAATGAATGTAAAATTAATTTGCAATATTTCAGATCAATATATTGTTTTCCTTAATTTAACTAACCCTAACTTTATTCTCATCTGAATTATAAATACATTATTCCGTATAAAATAATTACCATTAAAACACATTTGATTTTCTTTTTTAATCAATGTAGAATCATACGCAGGACTGTTGGAAAGCTGTGATGACAATAAAATGATAGCTTATAAATATATCTCCGGTTGCTTCCACAACATTTTGTATGTCATGTTTGGGGTGTGGGATGAAAGAAGGGATATTTTCAGTAATTATTTAATAAAACATTTAATTAATCTTCAGTGTGTAGTATTAGCCAATCAGGTGTCTTGACGCGAATCACGCGATTATGATTATGAAAAAACTAACGTTAGTCTAAAAAACTGCTAGTGATCATATAACGTTAGTCGATGTCAATATCAGCGCTAGCAATATAATTAGTTAGCTCATGGCAGAGTTTATCAGCCGAACACCAGACCGCAAATCTACCTTTGGTGTAAGGAAGAGACGCGGTGTCTTACATCTCTGCGTCTTTTTCCTGCCGCCATGCAGGCTCAGATGGTAGCCTATGATTATGATTAGCATGCCTATTATAAAGACACAAACCTTTTACTATCATGTCATTTGAATAATATGCGCGCGATAGAGAGAGAGAGCAAGACAGCGCTTGTGTTGTGTGAAGACGTGATAGTGCGCGCGCGGCCAGGGCGCTCTCTCGCTCTCTCTCTCAGCTCGTTTGCGCCCTGTCAAACGCATCAGTCATTCTACTCTACAACACTCACCGCGATCAAAAAAGGCTTTGGCGGGACAAAAAGCGGACGATCCGACAGGTTTTAGAAGATTAAATACAAACCAAAAGAATTTTAAAAAAACAGACCCGTCAAAATAGTCAGTGATACATTTGCGACCCATTAAAAATTAGGGTCGCAATGGGATTTCAAAAGCTCGCATATGCGACCATTTTGGTCGCAGTGTAGTTCCCTGTTAATTATGCATGATTACATGCAACTAACCACATGTTGTTAATATCACTCTGTATTTAAATGTATAATTTACACTGTAGCTAAGATACCTTAAAATAAAATGAAACATTTTTTGTAGGCCAAAACCTAGAAAACACAATATCATTTGAACATCTCCGGTTCCGTCATTCAGAAGTCTTTTTTTGGGGTTTTTGGTTAAATGTAAGCTCAAGATATTTTAATGTTTTATTCATCAGTAATACTCCCTGGTGATATTTTTTAAGATTTTACTTGTCTTGGAAAAGGTGGTTGCTAACAAGAGGCTGTGTTTTCAATTGTGAAGATTACCACGATGGACAAAACTTGCAAGAATAAGCAGCTTTTGTTATGCCGGCTTCAGAATACACGATTTTGGCATGATCAGTTTAACGTATGTTGTAGGTATTCGTAAATGACAATGGGCGTCGGGACTCAAGGATTGATTGTTACACCTCATATAGCGAGTCATAGTATACGACAACTGATGCCGCACTTGTGGTGCTTCACGACGCCCAGCCAAAAAGGCTCAAATTTTTAATCTTTTTATCTGTCCTCCACGACGAGTTATGTCACATCTGTGACTTTGACCAATAGGAGCACAGAAGCTCTGTACACAGCTTTCAAACATGGTAAAATGAACCCTGATATCACACATACATCACAGAGACGCTGTGTACGCTTCAACGACAAAATCACATTATCTTACACGTGACTATCGAGACAAAAATATTGTGTCATCTAAACCTGGCATTAGCCACAGAAGACCTTATTCTCTGCAATAATCCAAACACCAATGGAAAAATCCTATTGGGTTTTAGTCAAGGGAACCTGAAGCTGACTTAAGGCTGGCCTATAAAAATACATCATCACTGAAGCGCTCGATTTGGCTATTACAAAACTTTCTGCATTGACAAATAAATGGTGTCCACTTGGCTGATTAAAAGAAATGTTAGCTTCAATGCTACATTATTTTTGAGTTTGCCATTATTCAATATTTTATCAAATGAAGGCATTGAATCAGTCATCATCCGATAAAGCTGCAGCTGGTGTGCTTACATGGTAAAATCATCTGTGAGCCTGATCTGTACGCCGGTCTCTCCTCCAGTTTCTGCTGTATGAGTTTAATGTCTTGCCATCCTGGGAGGAAACACAACACAGCACCTGGAAAAGAGCAAACACTGTTAGTCAAAATACAAGAGAGCAGACACAAACATTTAACATCTGAACGAATGTGTATTCTCAGAAAAAAACAAAAAAAGGTTCTATATATATATATATATTGTATAATTGAATATTATATATATATATATATATATATAATATATTCTTGACTCAATTTTAAAGAACTAAGGAGAAATGTCATTTTTAAAAACCATTTTTAATTGGTTATTTCTGAATTAAATGAATAAAAACAACATGAATCAGTTACAACTAAATACATAAAATGATCCTATGATGAAGGGTTCTATATATGAAGTGCCTGACAGAAAGAACCCTTTAAGGTTTTATATATAGCATTTGTATTTCTAATGGTGTGGTTTGGTTTCAGGATACAGGATGCCATTTAAAGGAGTAGTTCACTTTTAAAATAACTTTTGCTGATAATTTATTCACCCCCATGTCATTCAAGATGTCCATGTCATTCTTTCTTCAGTCAAAAGAAATTAAGGTTTTTGATGAAAACATTCCAGGATTTTTCTCCATATAATGGATATTATACATCATATATATATTATATAACATTTCAGTGGGAACCAAACGGTTCAAGGTCCAAGACAGTTCAAAGGGCTTTAAACGATTCCAGACGATGAATAAGGGTATTATCAAGCGAAACAATTACTATTGTAATAAATAAATAACAAAGTTTAAGTTTTATAAGCACAAATGGTCGGCTTGCTCTGTTCTGTGATGAGCGTTCGTGACTCACCTGTTCGAACACGTTCATCAAAATGAGTCTTTTGGTTTATTCAATGAACGAAATGAACGAATTGACTCGGAAAAAGATTTGTTCATTTTGAATTTTGAGTTGCAATTTGTACTGAAAGTGTCTTTTGGACCTTGAACCGTTTGGTTCCCATTGAAGTCCATTATATGGAGAAAAATCCTGGAATGTTTTCATCAAAAACCTTAATTTCTTTTCGACTGGAGAAAGAAAGACATGGACATCTTGGATGACATGGGGGTGAGTAAATTATCAGCAAAAGTTTTTTTTTAAAGTGAACTACTCCTTTAAGTCCCTTTAAATTAATATTGATATAATTGATGGGAAAAACTGTAACCACATCTGTTTAATAGTATGACTAAGTTCAGTGTCTAATGCAAATCACAAAAATATTATTTGTCATTTTTGTCAATTGCAATTATTAATAAAATAACTTTTATGGGGTTACCTTGCTATTGCAATAATACATATTATTGTACTGTATATTTAAAAAAAAAATCATTCTATCAGTTTAATAATCATAATCAATTTAATAATAATTTTTATCAGTTTAAGAATCATAATATATTAAAATAAATAGTATAATAAAACAAAGTATTAATAAAAGTATCACTTAAAAAGATTAGTATTATTATTATTTCATTTAAATTTACAGAACAGTAAAATTAAAATACTAACATTTATGGTTGTCCTCATTTTTTTTTTTTTTTTTCAAATTTTAAACCATTGAGCTTTTATTTTGGCATTAAACCACAGGGAGACCTTAACGCTTCTCTTTGTTGACAACAACAGATTTATAAAGCATTCTCATTACGAATTTGGGAAGATGGTTGGCACATGTTGCGTTCCCAAATGCATATTACAAACAAACACAGCACTTGCAGAGTAGCATTTACTGTGAATAGAACCTGAAAATGAACACGTTTCTTTACTCTGAAACATGCAGCGTGTCGGACTATAGATTTATCACAACCGTTGCAATTTGATGATGGAAGCCATATCACACTCTCAGAACAACTACACACTGTCAAAATTAATTTAAAAAAAATACCGGGCAACTAGCGAGGAACAGTTTCAACGCCGATTTTTGCTTTTACTCAATTGGCGCTTTGAACCCTAACATGCAAACAGTGTCACACAGATGTTGCAGAGAGCTTGTGAAGCGCTGCGAGAAGCAATCCGTGCTTAAAATGTTTTCTTAAAATGTTTTTTTTATTTAGTAATTGTTTAAGGCCATTCAGTGATTTCAATCAGCATAACCTGTCAAATAAAATGTTATTAATTCCAAATTTACTGTGGCAAATCTAAAACAATGCAACAGGTTAGAAGACAAATAACCCCCCCCCCCCCCCCCTTTAACGACGTGTTCATATACAGAGCCTGTTTACACTTGTTTACGCTTTGTGCACCCTTGAAATCCCCTTTACCTGGCTCTCCAGACCTGTGAATATGGTCTATCACATCCGCCACCAGATCAAGATCAGGAGCGACGTCTTTTTCTTCCTGGAGACGAAGAATAAAAAGCAAATCCTTACAGCGTGAACCACACAACCAAACCAGATGATGCATGTCAGCCTTCATCTGAACGTACCGCCCGTTCCTCTTCTCCCTGCTCTTCTCCAGGAGCGGTCGACCCATCTCGGTCATCACCTCCTCCAGGTACCTCGCCTGCACCGGGTGCATGAATCCAGGCACACGCACCACTGGGCATCCCCCGAAATACTGAGCCAGCCGGCGCGTGTCTCCGGTCGCGCTCATCAGGACCACTCGCAGCTCTGGGTTCTCCTTCAGGACCGAGTGCAGCAGGGCCAGGAGCAGGTCGGTGTTGACGTCTCTCTCGTGGACCTCGTCCACCACGACGTGGCTGATGCCCTGGAGGCCAGGGTTGGATTGTAGTTTCCGCAGGAGGACGCCGACGGTGAGGAAGAGCAGAGCGCCACCGCTGCGCTCAGGAGGACGAGACTCCAGACGCACCTGGAAGAGCCAGAGACATGCGTTTAATGGCGCTTTTCCATTACCAGTACCACCTCGACTCGACTAGGCTCGCTTTTCGTTCCGTTTTCCATTGCAGACAGTACCGCCACAAATAGTACCCGGTCGTCATTGCGACACCTTTCGTTCCTCGTTGCCCTATCAAGCTCTCGCTGGATCCTCTCTTCGGTCACCAAACAAAGGAAAGTCTGCACCTCCTCGTTTGACCACGGCGTATTCTTCCGAGTTGCCATAATAATAGTAGTAGTAAGTTTAGTAACTATCTCTGGGCAAACTATTTAAAAATGGCGGGGTTATTCTGGATACTCCATCTGGCACGTGTAATGGTGACGCAGTGAATGGTGCTGATTCTCTCTGACCAATCAGCAGTCGGCATTGTTTTCACGTCACATTTTAGTACCGGCTCAGCTCGCCTTAGCTCGCTCAGAACCTCGCCGGAGGTGGTACAAAAAAAGTACCCGAAAGCAGGTACAGGTACAACTTTTACACAGTGGAAAACCAAACAAACGCGAGCCGAGCCGAGTCAAACTGGTATTGTGTAGTGGAAAAGCGCCATATGTCTCAAGAAAAGGCTGCATTTCAGGGACGGGTAACTTTATATCCCAAATGTGATGGGATTAGGGTTGGGTATCGAGAATCGAGTATCGATTGGAACCGGGACTAACTTTTCATTTTTCCCGGAATCGTTCAAAAGTTAAAATTTCGATTCTTAGTTTCGATATTCACAGTCCGCCGAGCGGAACAAGAAACCGCTGAACAACACCAAGGAAGAAGCGTCTACCGGAAGTGTTGGCATAACCGCGCGAGTCGAACATGAGTAGCTTACGTAGGCGGTCCAAAGTGTGGCTTCACTTTTCTAAAAATAACGAAATCTCGGCAAAATGCTAAATTTGTGACAAAAGGAGTATTTGTGACAGGAGTATTTCCTTCAGAAAGGATTATTTCCTTCAGAAATACCATTGGTTAGCAAGGTTAGCTAAACTTTTTTGACCCTGCCTCTTAAAAGAATCGGAATCGAGAATCGTTAGGAACCGGAATCGAAACAAGGAATCGGAATCAGAATCGTTCAAATTCGAACGATACCCAACCCTAGATGGGAAAATAAAATAATATGCTCTAAGGCAAGAGTAATCATTGTTGACAAAGTCTCTCTCTCTCAGCATTATTGCCGCTCATTTTGTAGGGTCCGCTTCACACACACATGATTTGGCACAGGTTTTACTTTTGATGCCCTTCCTTTCACAACACTGACACAATCACAATCACACTCATGCTACGACATAGCTAACTAAGACTAAACCCATACATTTTTAAGAAAAATGTTCAGTTATCATTTAAAAATGTTGTCTCGATTAATCATGGAAAGATTTCTTTAACGAGATGTACACAACTTCAGAAAAAAGAAAAAGAAAGTATGGGCAGGGACTTGGTTCTATCCATCAATTGTTGATTGGATGTTGAGAGTCGATGGTAAGAAAGGGGCGGGGTTAAAGCAGACTAAATGATCGGAGAAGTCCTACGTACGTCACCAGAGAGATCTTCCATTACACCGGAAGATCCAGTTATGACATTGATTAAAAATACAAAGTCAACAAATCACCACTCGTGCAATAATATCAATAAACGCATTTCTAAAATAGATTAAAAAAAAATTAAAAAAAAAACAGATTGAAAGGACAGAATGTTTTGGGTGTTCTTGCCTGGTATCCCACACAGTGGCGGAGGGCGGGTCCCATCTCCTGCGCCACACGCTGCGCCACAGACACTGCACTAATGCGACGAGGCTGTGTGACCAGGATGTTGCATTTGGCCCCGTCTCCGCTCCTAACGCAGCCCTCCAACAGGAAGCGTGGGATCCGCGTGGTCTTCCCGCAGCCCGTCTCTCCAGCGATCACGACCACCTGTGAGGACTTCACCGCTGCGAGCAGGCTCTCTTTATAGGAGTCCACCGGAAGCTCCACCCCTCGGCCGGGCCCCGCCCCCGCCCACAGGCCGAGCAGGTGGTCGCTGAGACTCTCCTGCTCCTCAGGGCGCAGAGGGCGGTATGGCTTATTAGTAATAACATCTTTAATGAAGTCGTCCTCATCATCGTCATCTGAACTGATGGAAGACGACTGAACTGATTGCTGCTCCTCTTCATCCCACAACTTCTGAACTTCAGCCTCGACTGGATGCTGAAACATCAAAAAGTTATGATGTTACACAATAATCAAAACAATTGAATAAATGTGTATTTTGTTTTACTGCACTGGTGGATTTTTCACGTTTCAAAGCCAAGTCCCCTTTTCTTGTCCATTTCTGGACCATTTTACTAAAAGAATTGTTTCAAGCAAGTTTGCAAGTTTAACGCTCATTAACTCTTTCCCCGCCAGCGTTTTTTTAAAAAGTTATTTTAGATCAGTGTTTTTTTTGTTTGTTTTTTATCATTTTCACAAAAATATTATGGCCCCCCGAATATTTTGTTGTATGAATATCTGAACATACAATATCAAAAGAACAGACCCTCTGCCATGTTATTCTAGCTTCATGCTTTTCTTTTTCATCAACACTTGAATGTGGGCACGTTTCATAAACAAAGCAACATTTTGAGCAAAAAGCTGAGAAAATTCTAGTTTTTTCAAAGACTACATTCAGATCATATTCAGAACGATGATCAAAACACAGATGGAGTAGTCAAAGTTCATATCCAAATTAAGCCAAATAAAATGTATTGGTAAAACTGTATTCTAAGGTTGCAGTTACATGTACTTATTATATTTATACCAGTAAAATATGCATAATTACAAGTAACTAACCCCAAACCAAACCCTTACCTTAACTATATTAAGTACATGTAGTTAATTAATATTAATCAGTACCGTATTGTTCAGAATATAAGACAACCCTGATAATAAGACTTTAAACCGATGTACAGAAGAAACCCTTAAAAAGTTAAGAAAATGCTTTTATTTCAAAATAACTTTTATATAGCATATTTTTCATATTAAAAATTTTGTATCGAAAGTATTGTAAATACCAGTAAAATGTGCTAACCATCACATTAAAAAATAAACACTTTTATGAAAAATAACCTGTAAACCAGAAGTAAATAATAATTAGGCGACCCATCTCATTGTGAAAACCATGTAGCCTACCAACATTATTTTAACAGTAGAAGTGAAATCTTATTAGTTTTGAAATCTGGGTGCCTTCTTGCGTTTTAAAATCACGTACGGGGGAAGTTTGGTCCCGTCAGCAAGGCAAGAAAACATGACAGTCTTGGACGGTAAGCTTTTCTTTGATTGTTTGCATTTTTAAAGGATTAGTTCACTTTTGAAAAAACTTTTGCTGGTAATTTCCTCACCCCCATGTCATCCAAGATGTCCATGTCTTTCTTTCCTCAGTCAAAAAGAAATTTAGGTTTTTGATGAAAACATTCCAGGATTTTTCTCCATATAATGGACTTCAATGGGAACCAGATGGTCCGAGGTCCAAAAGACAGTTAATAACAGTTTCAGATGCAGCTTCAAATGTCTTTAAACGACACCAGACGATGAATAAGGGTCTTATCATGCGAAACGATCGGTTATTTCAAAACTTATTCCAAAAATGTAACTTTTCTAAGGACAAATGCTAGCCTTGCTATATTCTCTGAGGCGCGTTTGTAACGTCACGTAATACGTAATTACGTTCAAAAGGTCACGGGCGACGTAGCCGGAAGTACAGAATCAAAATCGTCCGACATCGTTGTTTTTCCTTTTAATTCCTTTTTTGTAAACGGCGTTTGAGTTAGATTGCACGTTCAACCTATGCGTTCAACTTGTAAACACTGACTCTGTACTTTCGGCTACGTCGCCCGTGACCTTTTGAACGTAATTACGTAATACGTGACGTTGCAAACGTGCCTCACAGAATAGAGCAAGGCTAGCATTTGTCCTTAGAAAAGTTACATTTTTGGAATAAGTTTTGAAATAACCGATCGTTTCGCATGATAAGACCCTTATTCATCGTCTGGTGTCGTTTAAAGACATTTGAAGCTGCATCTGAAACTGTTATTAACTGTCTTTTGGACCTCGGTTGGACCTGGTTCCCATTAAAGTACTTTATTTGGAGAAAAATCCTGGAATGTTTTCATCAAAAGCCTTAATTTCTTTTTGACTGAGGAAAGAAAGACATGGACATCTTGGATGACATGGGGGTGAGTAAATTATCAGCAAAAGTTTTTTCAAAAGTGAACTGATCCTTTAAGACCGCGATCTTCAAACATTACACTCTGACACGTATTTCTTGGCGCGAGTATTTGGCGCCACCTATTGTTGCATTTGAATTGTTGACATTTAAAAGTCTAGATCCTGAATATAAGAAAATACCGTTTTTCAGATGCATTTCTAAAAAAAACTGTCTTATATTCAGAACAATATGGTACTTGTTTGAGTAAATACAATGTAACTAGGTCACCTTAAATAAAGTGTAACCAAGTTATTTGTGTTCATCTATATTCTAACGTACATAATCATGAAGCGTTTATAGTGCAAAGTGAAACACCGATTGGCCAGAGTGAGTCTCATGTATGTCACCTGTGCGAGGTACTGTTGAATCCTCTGTTCCAGATCCTGGGGTATTTCAACACGGCAGGGTCGCCTGTGCCTCTCGCCTGCTTCACGCACCTCCTGCTGATGGTACCTGGCGTGAGTCAGAGGGTTGTTCTGCTCATCCAGAAGCTTCAGTTCCTGTGAGCATAATCAAAACAGTCAGCTGGTGAATATCAGTGCTGGTGCTAGATGACAAGCACAGGACTTCCTATTGAAACAGGAAGTAAGGGTTACTGGAAATTGATTTGTTACTTAAAACTGTTAGTGGTATTAGTTCAAGGAGATGTTCAAAAGCTGCGCTTCAGAGAATGGTGGTGCATTCATGCCATCTCAGAAATATGAAAACTAGAAGTTCATAAATTCGATTAACAAGTTTGTTGACATAACTTGTATTTACGCATTTCTAACAGAGCAGCATTTGCTGAAGGGGCGGCACGCACAAATAAAAACACAGTGCGACTGGTGTAGTCGGATTCATGACCAAATGACTCTTGTGAGCAGACTCTCCAAAGCCTGTTAACCGTCAAGTGGTGGCAGGACAGTTGGCCTGCTTTTTATATTCCCTATTTTCCTCATCACAACATATTTTAGGTATAATTTGCACTCTTAAACACAAAACAAATTGAAAGTTGACATTGTATTACTATGTAAACGGCACTTTAAAACCTTTAAGCGACAAGTAGTGTTGCAGTACTCAAGACCGGTCTCAAGAGAACTTTTTGATGGTCTCGGTCTTGTCTCGGACATTGAGGACTCTGGATTTTTTTTTTCAAGACCACAAGACCATAACTGTGAAAATATCATAATAATTTCATGATATCAAAATATCATATAATTTGCCAGTTTATTGATTCATTTTTTGTTAACATCCTTGCTTTTAATGTATGTAAAACGTACTGATTCAAATCCAAGCAATAACGTGACTCATTGGTCATTGCTAATTATGTATTTTTGTTACCGCTGCCTGTCACCCATGTATTCATTTTCATGTATTGTTAATAAAAGGCAGAGAAAAGTGAAGACTTGTTTTATATTCTGTACTAAATGATGGAAGTCACCCAGGAGTATTGAATAAAGATGGTTTATTTCAGCTTTGAGTGTTAAATATCTCTGTTTTTATGGGAATGTGGATCTTTCAGATCAATTTGAGAAGCTCTTTTGATCATGTTTCACATTTTATTGTGTCATGTAGTGTGGGGCGCTGGTCTTGGTCTTGACTCGGTCTCACCCTCCCTTGGTCTTGGTCTTGTCTCGGTCTCGGGTTAGGTGGTCTTGACTACAACACTTGTTAGACCTATGGCTTTGATTTATGGCTTTTTGTGGCTTTTGATTTATGTATCAAGTCCAAATCATTTTATAAAATGATTAAAAAAATAAATAAATTAAAAAAAAATTTTTTTTTTAAAAATAATAATAATAAAAAAAAATAAAAAAAATCGCATAAAAATCTTCAGTACATGCAAGTGTGGTGCGCGAGAGCATATCAGGAGAGGCGCAGAGTAGGGCTGGTCAATTAGTTTTTCTAAAGTTTATCTGTGTGTAAATATATCTGTGCAGCGCAGGACTGCTTAAACACAATAGAGCAGCAAAGAAACAGATGAGCGAGAAGAAAGAGTGGGATGTGCTTGACAAAAAACACAATAAACCGTGAGAGAGAACTGGATTCGGTACATACAGGCTCTCTGTGGTGCATATGCGAAGCACAAGGCTGCTTCAATGGTCAAGTACACACATTTGTGTGTCAAATGTCCGTCTTGGTAAACACAGCCAGTTGTGTCTAAAGTGAAAGTAAACAGTTGAGCGAGATTATCATTATATCAGATCCATGCAATCATGTATGTTGTGTTAGAAGGGAGGCCCACTGTCTTTGAAAACCCCTGCTTTATCGTAAACTTTAGCTTCTATAACTTTGTTACACATCCATTTTTTGAAGCTGCTTTAAAGGAGTAGTTCAATTTTAAAAAAACTTTTGCTGATAATTTACTCACCACCATGTCATCCAAGATATCCATGTCTTTCTTTCTTCAGTCAAAAAGAAATGAAGGTTTTTGATGAAAACATTCCAGGATTTCTCCATATAATGGATTTCAATGGGAACCAAACGGTTCAAGGTCCAAAAGACACTTTTAGTACAAACTGCAAACTGTTCAAAAGGCTTTAAATGATTCCAGATGATGAATAAGGGTCTTATCAAGCGAAATGATCGCTAATTTAAAAAAAATAACAACAAAGTTTAAGTTTTATAAGCTCAAATGCTCGCCTTGCTCTGTTCTGTGACGCGTGACTCTCCCATCGAACTCGTTCATCAAAATGAACGAATCTTTTCCAGAGTCAACTCGTCATTTCGTTCGTTGTATGAGCCAAATGACACGAAAAAAAGATTTGTTCATTTTGATAAACGAGTTTAAACCGGAGAGTCATGAACGCTCATCACAGAACAGAGCAAGGCGACCATTTGAGCTTATAAAACTTAAACTTTGTTATTTATTTATTAAATGAGCGATCGTTTCGCTTGGAATCGTTTTTCGCTTGGAATCTGGAATCGTTTAAAGCCCTTTGAACAGTTTGCACTGAAACTGTCTTTTGGACCTTGAACTGTTTGGTTCCCATTGAAGTCCATTATATGGAGAAAAATCCTGGAATGTTTTCATCAAAAACCTTAATTTCTTTTCAACTGAAGAAAGAAAGACATGGACATCTTGGATGACATGGGGGTGAGTAAATTATCAGCAAAAGTTTTTTTTTTAAAGTGAATTACTCCTTTAACTTCTGGAATAATCTCCTGAGTGTCTGTCCAACACAAACCAACCTTAAACCGGAGACAAGCCAGTGCCGCTGCTTTAGACTCCGCTTCCAGTCTACGCCGGCCGTGAGCTGTAAAGGTCATCTCCTCCGGCCAGCGTAAGGTCAACTCGCATGTCTTCACCGTCCCACCAGTCGTCCTGTACTGAAGCAGCTCCTTCACACGGAGGGGCAGAGAAACAGAAACCAAACAGGAGAATGAGAAAATCAATGAGTGCGTTTACATGCACGTTCTTAACTCGATTAAACTGACAATCCATGTGGTCATTTAAATGTGTTAAGCTGTTTATTCCGATAAAAGACAAAAGGTCAAGCGTAAACCAAACACAGCAACATTTTCTGCACCGATTTTGCCGGTATATAAATAAGCGGATTTCTTTGGCTTATTAAAGTGCACATGGAAAGGCATCCTTACAGTGGATTTAACAGACAGAGCGAGTGTTTCGCGGTAGTAGTGTTAATTTCGTTAACGAAAACTAAACGAAAATATTTTCGTCAACGCACATTTTTCACCGAACGAAAACTAGACGAGACGAGACTAAAATCCCCACTAATAAACAATAACTGGGAGTAAATCAGAAATAATTTTCGTAGACTAATAAAGACGAGGCGAAAATGCAGTTCGGTAAATAAAGACTGGGCTAAAATCTATGGACATTTTAGTTCACGAACAAAGACGAGACGAAAATTACATATTATTATATGATATGGTTTTGTCAAATACTGTCTCCTCCTCCGCCTCCTCCTCGTCAGCTCTTCCGCCACACACCCACCCACTTTCAAACCTGGAGCGGGCGGGCACAGTCAGTCAGAGTAGCCTACACAACACGGAGCAGACAGGAGCTGGATTCACGGTGAGGCGGCGGCGACAGGTTAAAAGTAAACATGCTTTGCACGGGGCTCGTGAGAAAGAATAGACGTGATATATGGACACATTTTGTTACAATGATAAACTAACTAATGATGGCTAACTTTCATAGCATTTAGTATCCAGGCTGGCTATGTTACGTTAGCTTCTTAGCACGTAGCGACCGTAGCCACTTGTTGATAGAATTGTATGTGAAGTTAAATTTATGCTAACTTAGATATGTTATACTGGCCGGGCAACTATAGTTTCAGTTAAATTTGATTAAAGCAGACAGACGCTTTAAAAAGATTTCATACGTTCTAGCAAGCTATGCCTTGTTTCACCTTAAATACTGTACCTTTATATACCATGTGAACTAGCTGGCAGGAAAGCACTTTTGTTGTATCAGTTGGAGTTTTTTTTTTTTTTTTTCACAACATTGACCTCAAATCTATTTATTTTTTTATTCTATGTGAACTAGCTTTAAACAGCCAGCACTTGTGTTAAGTTCATAATACACTTTATTTTATTTATTTGTTTCCTTTGTCAGGTGTATTTTATTTGTTTTAATGCAAGCATTTGTGTTTGTGTCTTTGAACCTTAACAATGTTCAAAATAAATATGAAAATATTGTCAGAACATCTTCCATGTCTGCATGTGTTCCTTAAAATTGTGTTTTTTATCAAAAAGATGAGAGAAAATGTTGAAATGTGAAATAATTTTAGGAAATGTTTAATATTATCTGCTGACAACAAAGTAAAAGACTCATGACTCTTTAGTCAGTGATGTTTTTTTTTGACTAAAACTAAACGAATAAAATTATGTTTTCTTGGACTAAAATAAAGACTAAAATGCTCGACTTATAGTCGACTAAAACTAGACTAAATAAAAATGGGATGATGTCGACTAAATGTGATAAAAACTAACAAGCGATGCTGAAACTGAAACTAAATTTAAAAATGGCTGGTAAAATTAACACTACGCGGTAGGGAAGGAAGAAATACATCGCAAACTCTTGACCCACGAAATTAAAAAATGCGTCATCTCATGCTACCAGGGAATTACTTGGAAGTCTCGTAAACACGGTTTCCTTGCTTTGCTGGGTTATTGCTTTGCATATAAACCACAACAACTGGTTAATTCAATAAACTGATTTCTGGGACTTATCGCGTATCGGTCTGTATTGTAACATACTTGTTTGGTCTTTTTTGTCAGATGTGTGTGCTGGTCAACAACAGTCTCAAACTCACTCTGACTCTGCAGGATGATGTGGCGACCTGAATGACACTTCCCAGAAGTGCCCTCGGCTTTGGAAACATGGAGAGTGCCTCGGTCACCGTCGGATCCTCTTCTATTGGCCTATGACACATCAAATATCAGATACAGATGGATAACAGAACAAATGCAACAACGATGCGTCAAATCTACGTGAGAGTAATGTATTGATTCATAGCATATGGAAAACTGCACTCATGTGACAACGTGATGAAGGATTTCTGAATCTCCAAAGCATTCTTTCTGCCAGTGTAAACAAAGACCAAAAGCCAATTCAGACTGTAACGGTTTCTCAGAAAGATGTGTGTAAAATTTAATTTTCATGGTTATAAAAGGTAAACATTTTACCTTGACTAGCAGATGTCATACTAGCCCTAATTAATACAAATGCACATAATAAATATTGTAAAATTTTATTGCATACATTTTGTTGCCATAATAATGCTCATTTCAAAACTTTATATGGTCTTGCGGTCTTAACCCTCAGGTGCTCTTCGGTCATTTCTGACCGAAAAAATTTATGTTTTGAAATGTTAAAAATATCAGCTTCATTGGAATGTTACGAAACTTGGTGACTTTTATTCCATTGGGTATGTGAACACACAAAAAAATTGAGGTCATGATCCGAGCATGCTAAGTGGTCGTAAAAAAAATAGTCACACTTGTGCTCTTCGGTCAAAAATGACCGACCATAGGAAATGAATGGGAAATTGACAAAAACACAAAAACTTTGAGAATTTTTGTGTGTACAATCTACAAATCGGCCACGATGCAGAAAAAAAGTGCTCAGCATTGAAGGGGTGACACTCTAAAACATCAAGAGTGCAAAACAGACATACCCACCCCTACACACACACACATACACACATACTTTTATCCACAAAAACACCAATAAATTGTGATTAAAAAATATGTTTTGAATTTCTAAAAAATCACTGCTTCATCAGAAAATTACGAAACTTCGTGACTTTTATGGCAACATGTATGTGAACACACACAAAAATTGAGGTCATGATTCGAGCACTTTAAGTGGTCGTAAAAAAATGAGATACACTTCTGCTCTTCTGTCAAACATGACTGACCATAGGAAATGAATGGGATATTGACAAAAAAAACAATCTACAACTTCAAACTACAATTTGCAATCTACAAATTGGCCATGAGGCAGAAAAAAGTGCTCAACAATGAAGGGGTGACGCTCTAAAACATCAAGATTGTGATATTGACACTCACCCACACTTACAAACAGACGCACACATGCACAAATAAACACACACCTATATGAACCACTGTGTCTGTAATAGAGCAATGTTGTGAGAATATGTGAAATCTATTCAATAATTCAGTCATAATGCAGGAAAAGCTCACAGCAGTGAAGGGGTGACACTAACTTCAATACTGAAATTAACACACACACACACCTATAACAAAAAAAATAAGTAAACGTGTCCATGAACAGCTGGGGAATTCACATGCCTCTCCATAGAGAACTGTACATTTCATCTAGTGGTTACAACATGGTTCTACGCTTTCTCTCCATACTCTTACCAGATGGCGCTAATCTGCCTTCAAAATTTTTTTTTTGGAAGGCCTAGTCTCTATTTTAACCTAAAATACTGCTTAAAAAAAATAAAATAAAAAATGTATATATATAAAAAAAGTTTGTATTATTTTCAATGGCAAAAATGGACCATACATATTGCATAAATATTAATAAGTAACATCAAATTGGCTCAAAATACAAAATTAAAAAGAAAAAATATAACTGAACAAAAATAAATTGCATTGGTTTTACTGGGATGGAGAAAGTTTCATTTTTAGGTGTCCGGTCACTTTTGACCGGGAAGATAACAAGTGTGACTCCGAAACGAAGGCTAGTGATTACACCATGATTCTACGCTTTTTCTCTATACTGTAACTAGATGGTGCTAATTTTCTTCAAAAAAGATTTTTTTTCTGAAGGCCAAGACTCTATAGTATACTAAATACTGCATTCATAATTTTTTTTAAAAAATTATATACATTCAGAAAAATATATATACTTTTCCATGGCAAAAATAAACCATAAATATTGCATAAATATTAATAAATTCAATCAAACTGTCTCAAAATACTAAATTAAAAAGAATAAATATTATAGAACAAAAATAAATTGCATTGGTTTTACTGGGATGGAGAAAGTTTCATTTTTAGGTGTCCGGTCACTTTTGACCGGGAAGATAACAAGTGTGACTCCGAAACGAAGAGCACCTGAGGGTTAAATATTTTACTTCTTAACAAGTAATGGAGAAGGGATGTAATGTTTTTTGAAACACTATCCAACATTTTTCTAATAAAACTTTAAATGCGTGCACATTAGTGTACAGTGCATAATGGCAGTGGTTAAAAATAATATAAAATATTTACAATAAGACTTTTGGATTGATCTCTTCTTGCATGTAATATAGTCAGGACTTTTTACGCGTGTGGTGGGAGAAAAACCCTGACATTCTGGAATCAGATATCCATAAAAAGCCCAGACTAGCCTTTGTAAATGCTGAAAATACCTTACGTCCCCATGAGAAACAATTACCCTCCAAATGAGGCTCAAGCGCATCTGCTAGTGCTAACAAAATGGGATACCTCAGGGATCACTGCTAGGCCCCATCCACTTTTTAAAATACAGAAAAATCATCACTGGAACATAATAGGCACATTGCTTTTGCTTACTACGTCACTAACAAGTGCCAATCCTAGCAAGACTTTTCTGTCAGTGATGTGTCCCAATGTAAATTTCTGGACCTGTAAGTTTATTATGATTTCGTGACTACAATCTCAATTTTTTTTTTTTTACACATTTCATTCATCTATTTACTTGAATATGACTGGAATGATGAACATGAAATATTAAACTAGGGCTGGGCGATATGGCCAAAAAATCATATCTCGATATTTTTTGGTCAAATGGCGATATACGATATATATCTCGGTACTTTCTACGTTTTCTATTTAGATAAAGAAAATCTTTATATTTATATATATATATATATATATATATATATATATATATATTCACATTCGGCCCAATGATATCCTAACAATGTTGATATTGAAGGATATGGAAACAAATATAATATAGGCTATGCAATATATTATGTGCAAAAAGCTTTTGTTTTTATATTGACTAAAAGCTAAACTAAAAATGAAAATAAAAACAAAAACAAAAACAAAAGCACAAACTAATTATATTAGCCTGCATTTGATTACCCCATTATAATCACTTTCACTTTCATTAAAAATATATACTTGTAGGTTTAAAATTCCACATATGGCACATTTATTTTCTCCAACAACAAATATTTTAGCAATATGTTTATTTTAGTCAGAATTATTGCGTACTACGTAGTACTATTCACGCGCATGCGCGCGCCGGCGCTCGTTCAAGGAAGCATGAATTTTAGCGGAGATTCACTTCCAGAAGCTCGTCCTCTTCTGACATGGACATATTTGTTGTGAAATGGACATATTTGCTTTACTTTCTAACATTTACAGATGGAGAATATACCTGTGAAATGTAAGTTGAGCACTGAGGAAAGCACCACATCTCAAACGCATTAAACAGCGCAAGTATATCTGTCAGTCAGCAACAGTGTCTGTCAGAGCATTTGACAGGGCGGCAAGCTGCCTTAAACTTGTTAACTATATCAAAGTGATTTTGACGCAATTAATATAAGCTTGTGTCATGTTTAGGACAAATTGTACTACGTAGCCTAGCTACTTTCACTGCAGCAGCTCACACTGCAACCTCCGCTATTTTTCAGATGTGCTCATATCAAACTACTGTATCGATATAAACGGTATTGCCTCATTCCATATCGTTTCAAAAAATATAACGATACATCGTACATATTCGATATATCGCCCAGCCCTATATTAAACTCAGGTGAAGTATTCACTATTCAGGAAGAGTATTAGATTACCCTTGGGCTCGTTCCTTCTGTGTTTTCTTCTTGAGAGGCAGAGAGTCATCATCGTCTTCTTTATCTTCCCAGACAGATGTCTGCCTCCCTTTCGGTCTCGTCTTTCCTCTAACGGATGGTTGATTTCCTTGACCGAGGACTCCCAGCTCCTAAAGACACAATGCACAATTTTCAGGATTACTGAAATTACAATGAATAGGGACCAAAGCTGAACTTTAAACATGAGCCATACAAGGAGTCCATACAACTCTTGCACTATATTATCCCACTCTTAAAGTCCCCCTGTGGTAAAAATCCAGCTTTTAGTGTTGTCTACGTGGTGGTTTTAATATGCTTTAAGAAAAAGCATGTGTAAAGTCATAAGTCGAGTATTTTCTCCTTAAAACTGCAGTGAACAGTGTTTTTGACGTCACAAACGACCTTGTAACCAATCAGATCAACGTGTGATCGTCAGCGAGTGGAGCTCTGAGCTGAGTGAGTGAGTGGAGGTGGGGCTCATTTGCATATTCATTGAACCACATATACTAAATGAGGGTGTCGTGTTACAATCAAGCTATTTTAAGGCATGAAGAAATTTTTTTTTCTAAGAAAAAAACTTTTAATGCGTAAATTTGGTTATTAAAGGCGACTTTTAAGGGATAAAATGATTGCTGGGGGACTTTTACCGGGGAACTGGGGAATATTATCAGGGAATAACAACATGGCTTTAAAGGAGAACTCCGGCGAACAATGAACCTTTGGTCCAATAAAACATCGGTACCTAGTCAATCGTTCTCTGAGTTTTGTTTTCATGATAATCGAATGTAAAGAGTTTTATCTCTAAAAACTGTTTAGCGTATAATGCTAGTAATGGGGGCATTGAGTAAGTAAAAAGAAATCGCTAGTTAATACCACTAACAAGGCTCAAAATAGCCCCACACTAACACAGTAACTTAATGAGGCTCCATGTATGCAAAACGAAGCATTGAGAACTTTTAAAGTGTACAGACAGTTTAATAAGAAGATACTTTATGAAGACAGTTCACTTCATGTATACAGACAGGAGCCATCTTAGAAAATAGTCTCGATAAGTCGATCCCCGATCATACAGTTCAGAAGTTCGCTGAACTTCATACAGTTCAGATCACTCAGCACGACGTTCGGGGATCGACTTATCGAGACTATTTTTTAAGATGGCTCCTGTCTGTATACGCGGAGTGAACTGTCTTCATAAAGTATCTTCTTATTAAACGGTCTGTACACTTACAAAGTTCTCAATGCTTCGTTTTGCATGTATGGAGCCTCATTAAGTTACTGTGTTAGTGTGGGGCTATTATGAGCCTTGTTAGTGGTATAAACCAGCGATTTCTCTTTACTAAGTCAATGCCCCCATTACTAGCATTATACGCTAAACAGTTTTTAGAGATAAAACTCTTTACATTCGATTATCATGAAAACAAATCCCAGAGAACGGTTGACTGTGTACCGATGTTTTATTAGACCAAAGGTTCATTGTTCGCCGGAGTTCTCCTTTAATAGACTTGGAATAGAGTGCACAAGTAGTATGGAAACGTTTATTGTACTTTTGCATCCCCATTCATGGCCAATAGATGGAAAACAGTTTCCTCTCCAGAACTTCTTCAAGGCCCAAACATACTTCAAGCTAAATTTAAGATACAACAGGTGACATCATTTCAAACAAAATCGGGGCTGAAACTAGGTTCATTTGCATGTCATTTCGAGAGGTTTGCCAAGGCGCCCTATTCTTTGATTGTTTGCTATGGTGAAGGTGCTGAAGTGACTCTACAGCTCACACTTACTCTGAGTTTACATAGAGCTGCAGCTGCTGCTTGACGCTCGGCCTCCAGCTTACGAGACCCAAAGCCCTCCGCCTCCATCGGCACGGGCCACTGGAGGGTGACTGTTGCTCTCTGAAAGACGTTGTGATAAAGTGAACAACAAATACAAAGGTATTACATATTCATCACACAGTAACGTTTCATAAGCTATAGAACATGCTTCTTTATTTGAAGGAGCTGTCCAGACCAGGGATTTTTTAGGCTGTGTTCACACTTAATAATAATAATAATAAAACTTTATTTTATATAGTGCCTTTAAAAGTAGTATCTCAAAGCACTTTACATAAAAAATAATGGAATTAGACAGACACAACAGTCTAGGCAATAAGAACTAAACAAGCAATAAAATAAAAGGCAAATAAAATAACAATCACAGTGATCACACAGTCACATAAAAGCCACCCTAAAAAAGTACGTTTTAAGGGAGGATTTAAAAACTCTAAGTGATTCTGCATTTCTAATCTCAGAGGGCAGGGAATTCCACAATTTTGGAGCTAAAGAAGAAAAAGCCCGATCACCCATAGTTTTACAACTAAACACTTGGCATGTTTAGTTGGATTAAAACGAATCCTGGTGCGATTGCTTTGTTAGTGCGGTTCGTTTGAATAAGTGTGAACGCTGACATCCGAACCCTGGTGACACCAAACAAACAGAGAATGCAGAAAAGATGGGTCTTGGTCCGCTTCCAAGCAAACTCTGGTGTGGTACGACTGAAATATGAACACAACACGGACCAAAGACATGAAAATTAACAAAATAACAGACGCCACCCCAAAAAGGACCGAATGCTCAAGCATCCCTGATTTTTCTTGTCATATCGCCAGTTTGCCCATCACAGGCATCAGAACCCTGTCTCCTCACCGCAGATCTTGATTTGTGTGTGATGGAGGGATTCCTGACGCTGTTTTGACTCCTTTACACTCTTCACGAGTTCTCTAAAAGGTCAAAATACCATCATATTAGCCCAGAGCACAGCATTGTTTTGGATGCTCGGTAAGTTCCGTCCTGCCTTTTAGGTTTAGTCTTAAGATGCCAACCTGAACACTATAAGTACTAAATGTTGTTTTGTTTTTTAGGTCCGGACCAAACAAACCAAGCGGACCGAACTACAAGTGTGAACACAGCCTAATCTGCCACAGATCGCCATATATGATCATTCCATTGGCGAGAGACCCCCATCCTAGCATTTAAAAGGCTGCATATACATAAATGATGTATAAAGGCAAAATTTATACTGCAAAAAATAATATGTGGAATAAATATTGTGGAAAACAATAGCACTTTGTTTATTTATTTTTAAATCTAATTTGACTTTATTTTAATCTCTTTTTTACTTTTATAATTCTTTGCAATTTTTATTTTATACATTTACTAATATCAAACGTATTACAAGCAAATAATTATTTTAATCATTTATTTATATCAAATTTACATTTTAATCTTTTTTTTATTTATTTGAAAAATATGTATATGAAGAGTTCAGATGCAAAAGCCTCTAAGTGCCATTTGAAATTTTCCTCTAGAATGATCATTTTTTACAAGCTTGTATATTTAAGTTCAGTGATTTCACTTAAATGGCAATGATAATTACCTATTAATTGTTATTTAAGTGAAATTACTGAACTTAAATATACAAGTTTGATAAAAAATCATCATTAAAGAAGAACATTTCAAATGGCATTTAGAGGCTTTTGCATCTGAACTCTTCATATATACTGGGTTTCTTAAAACATTTCCCGAGCCTCGTTTTTTTTTTTTTTTTTTTTTTTTTAAGACGGCTCATAACTTTCAAACCTGAATTAAATCCACATAGCATTTTTTTTTATCCACTACAATGGACATCACAACTGAAACAACATAAAAATCCTCGTATTTTAACGATAAATATGAACTAGAGTTTGTGAAATAGTGTTTTTGTAGGTCTGTTTCACAACCTGGCACACAACTAATTCATGAGGTTCCTGCTGATCTTGTAACAACTGATGTACATCAGACGAGCAATAAAAAAATCTTCAAAATAACATTGAATATTATCACTTGATAGTTTATAATAGTTGAAAGTTGGTGAGGCTTTTATATACATAAACGTGCATATAAAATGGTTTGTTACCCATGCCTGAAGCCTGTCTATGCCTCCTGAAGCTCAATCAGATTTAGTTAGGAGGCGGTATCTTCGTTGTGATTGGTTGATCAGAGACCAATCAGTGAGCAGGCATTACTCACATTATAAAACATAAAAATGTTTTGGTTTACCCCAAAAAACGATGAGGGGGTCTGAAGGGGTTAGTCAGTCAGTCAGTTACATAAAAAAATGTAGTTTGGTCTAATTTGAAACCGAAAGGTTGTAATGATTACCCCTATCTAACTGTAGAATAGTTATGTCATAATAGCTCTTTAGACAGTCTTATTATAACTGCAATGTCAAAGCAAGTGTCCCAGAGAGGCTCTAACCTTGACCTCCCCATCGCTGCAGCTGTACTGGATGTACTCGGACAGATCGGACAGACCCAGGGATTTGGACAGCGTGGTGTACAAGAGGTTCTTAGGTTGAGGAAACTCTCGGAGAAGATCAGGACCACCTGTACGCAAATGACACTGTCAGAAAAATAAAAGCGCGTGCGAGAATCCTTACAAGTCTTTCGCGAGATGATCTTACCTTTGTGAACAGTTTCCGGCGGAGAGTTGCGATGTTTATGGATGACACCTGTTTTAGTCCTATACTGACTTACAAAAGTCCACTTTGACCAGATGTCTTTATTAATTTCAAGAGTTTTTCTCCTTAAAGCGACGAGTGCCCGAACCGGCATGAGTGCAGTGCAGGACATCGCCATATCTGTTGTCTTCTTCGTCGCTTTTGACGCGTGACCTACTGGCGACAGCGCCACCTGTACTGCAGTGAGCGAAGAAGTCAAGAGGTCTCGAAGAAGTTGGAAAATAAAATTTCAAATATGGAATTAAATTGTTCATATTTACAAAACAATGTGGCCCATCGCTCCTGTACAAAAATATATATGTATTATGTGCCTAATTGTTGTAACAGAAAGTTTACACCACATTATTATGCTACTACTGTACTGATGTATAATGCAACAAACACATGTAGACCCTAAAAGTTAACAAAAAATGAATGAGAATCAACCTGAGAAATTCATGACAGAAAATGACCTTGACTAAAGTGATCTGTTTATTCCACAGATTCTCAACCTTTTTTCTGGTTATTAAGTGAATTATGAATACAAAGTTGATGTTATGCTGCTTTGGTGAATCTAAAGGCTTAGGTCAAACGCGTTTAAAATGAAGGACACTCACAGACACGTCACAGTACAATTTCTTCAAATGACAAAACTGAAAATGTTTTTTTTTAGATATATATACATATAATTTATTTAAAACAAATCCAAGCATACAGTGGAAATAAATATAGACTGAGCTACTGAGAATTATACATGAATTGACAAACAAATATGTTTTCCTACAGGAAAAAAAAGTACCTACTGAAACTGCCAGAATCTTAATAAAAACATTTTTATAAGTTGAACGAGTTTAAATGAGGATTAAAACATCTTCAAGTTTCTCATCACAAAATTGAAATATAACAAATCACACTGCTATAATTCTTCAACGAGTGGCATTGAAAGCACATTTGTTAAGATCAACTGAAGGATTTTTAAAAACAGTCTGTCGGCATCAGACCACCAGTTTCATCATGTCTGGACGGACATTCTGAGTGATGGTGACAAAACACACATGAACGGACTCCATTTTAAAATACTGACATAATAGACATCACACGAACCAGAGAGCTTCAGTGTGTGCAATAATATAGTCTCGCCATCACATCTTTCCATACATTCTGCATTTCATCCTCTCAGTTCTCTTCAGCAAGTTTCATCAGCTGGGTAAAACACACCAAATGTTAAAAGATTAAAAAATAACATTTTACAAAGCATTTTTCAACATTTTTGCTAATATATAATATATATATATATATATATATATATATATATATATTTATACTAATATATAGCTTATATATATAGTATAATTTGCTTTATTATTTTATATATATATATATATATATATATATATATATATATGTGTGTGTGTGTGTATGTATGTATGTATGTATTTATGTATATGTATGTTAGGGCTGTCGAACAATTAACCGCATCCAAAATAAAAGTTTGTGTTTACATAATATATGTGGGTGCACTGTGTATAATTATTTTGTGTGTATATATATATATATATATATATATATATATATATATATATATATAAATTACACACACATGCATGTATATTTAAGAAAAAAAATATTATTTATATATAAAATATTTATATATAATATAAATCTATATACAGTATATGAAAATATTTCTCAAATAATGTGTGTGTATTTATAAAATAATTATACACAGTGCACCCACATATATTATGTAAACACAAACTTTTATTTTGGATGCGATTAATCGCAATTAATCGTTTGACAGCCCTAATATATATATAAATAAAATAAAGCAAATTATACTACTATATAATATTATTATATGAAGCGGCACAAATTACTGTGCGAGATAAAATTGGAAGTTTACAGAGTCTTAGTGTCAGTACTACATCCAACTATTATATATAATATTTAATAATGCGATGGGAGCATTTATTAGCATTTTTTATCAACAGTACATTTTTTGTAAACCTTTTATCATATCTTGGAGTGTCGCAATAATATCGTATCGTGAGTTCAGTATCGCGATATGTATTGAATCGTGACATGAGGGTATTGTTACACCCCTATTTCTTACTGTATTTTGGTCAAATAACTGGCGAGAGACTCAATCTTTTGAGCGGACTGTATGAGAAACACTTACTCTCTTGTTCTGCTTTCCTACGTTTCCTACAGGCACACACTATCACAACAGTCACTGCAGGAATCAGCAGCAGGAGCACCAAACAGTAAAACAATGAGTTGGAGTCTGAAACGATAAACAGCTTGATGTCAAAAACACATCCACAATAGTATATATTCATTTAAGCATTACTCCATGCAATCAGCCCCACAAATGAAATTTCAGCCATTTTCTCACCCTCGTGCTGTTCTGACACATAAGATGATGTTTGAAGAACCTTTCAGCAGTTTATTGGATTAAGAAAAATGAATGGAGTTTCATTTTCTAGTTTCCACATTATATTTAACAAAAGATCAGTCTCAGCCATTTGTAAGTTGAATGTGTGAGGCTTCCAGTCAGTTATTTTACCAGTACAAAAACACTGTAATGCTGCTTGATATTACAGTCTGGGATTTGATATCATTTTAATTTATTATATCATATTCATAAACACACTGGTTTGTAGTGCACAGTTCTAATGTTTCTTGCACTTATTCTTAAAGTGACAGCAGGTGCTTTGGTGCTTGATATTGCAAAGTGCAATCTATTGTTTTCATTTAATTCATGAATGCAATCATAAACACACTGGTTTATAGTGTGAATTATTTTACAATTTACTGCATTTCGTTATCCTTCCAGTTATTTACTAATGACTCAGAAAACAGCTTACTTCTGTGTTGCTACATTATAAGGTGAATAACGCCTAATGAATTACATGTAGAAGAACAGACAAAAACACCCGAATCATTCTTCAAATATCTTCATTTGTGTTGTTTTGGAGAGGGGAAAGAAATCATAAAAGAACAGCATGAGGAAATGAACTACACTCTTAAAAAGAATGAACTAAGAAATCAAATTTTCCTGAGCTTTTGACATCTAAGAGGTCATCATATTGTAAAAATATCCTGTAAGTTTCAGAACTGAAAACATCCTTGTTAGTCCAATAAAAGCTTTTATTGACACCAGCCACTGAAAACGACTCGTTTTTAAAAGTGGGGAACTATGACGTCAAAGGGTTTAAAACACCACCCCCGCAGACGAAGATCAACACCTACTTCAACACTTAAACTTTATTTTTAATGACGTTCCAGCTGATGAGGGTAAAACCGTCTGTTCGCTTCATTTCACTGAGGATTGGATTTGAGGATTGGAAACAAGACTAGATTTGCAGAACGATTAAGAGTAAAGAATGGTGCTGTGCCGTCTATATTGGATATGACAGGAATTGTGCAACACACGGACTTTGTATGGGTCGAACATGTATGGGCGAATCATTCCAGTTGCCATTTTACAACATTGGACGTTTTCAAAACAATTTCCCCCACATGCATCAACGGGACTCATTATAATATGCAAAACTGTTGTCCACTCACAGCAGTTGGCGTTTACTTCAAAGTCTTCTGAGACGCCCATAAAAACAGAGCGTTTTTCAGGTAGGCTAAAAACTTGGGTACAAAATAGCCTATTACGTATTCATTTTGATGTTTTTGAACGCAAAAACCAAGTGAACGTTATCAGACAACAATATAATAAAATTTAAAAAGCCAGTTCATGACCCCTTTGATGTTGTTTATACGGAGGCGTATTGCATTCACTTGAAGAAATAAAAAAATCTAATCTGTTTTTCTGAATCAACGAGTTAATTTTTCATGAGAAAAAAATATATTTTGCTCTGTTTTTCTGAATTAATGAGTTAATTTTTCATGAGAAAAAAAATATTTTGCTCTGTTTTTCTGAATTAACGAGTTAATTTTCCATGGATTTTTTTTTTTTTTGCTCTGTTTTTCTGAATTAACAAGTTAATTTTCCATGGATTTTTTTTATTTTTTTAACTCATAAATTAATTCATAAAAACAGAGCAAAAACTTTGTCACGAAAAATTAACTCATTAAATTCAGAAAAACAGAGCAAAAAATGTTTTTCTCATGAAAAATTAACTAATTAATTCAGAAAAACAGAGCAAAAACTTTTTTAATCATAAAAAAAATTAACTCATTAATTCAGAAAAACAGCAAAAAAAAATTCTCATGAAAAATTAACTCGTTCATTCAGAAAAACAGAGCAAATTTTTTTTCTCATGAAAAATTAAATCGTTAATTCTGAAAAACAGAGTAGTTTTTTTTTCTTCAAGTGAATGCAATACGCCTCCGTATGTTTAAAGGTCTATGTGGTGTTTTTAATATGCTTTAAGACAAAGCATGTGTAAATTCTTACAGTAAGTTGACAGCATTGCTGAGTATTTTCCCCTTAAAACTGCAGTGAACCAAAGACAGTCTCAAAAATACGGTTTGAAATGACATCACAAATGACCTTGTAACCAATCAGATCAACTTGTGTGAGTGGATCTCTGAGCTGAGTGAGTGAGTGGAGACAGGGCTCATTTGAATATTCATAGAACAGAGTATACTAAATGAGGAAAGGGTGTAGAGTTACATTCAGGCTATTTTAAAGCATAAAGAAATATTTTCTTCCATGGAAAAAAGTTTTAATATGTAATTTCAGTGATCAAAGAGGAGTTTTAAGAGATACAATTATTGACAACAGAGGGACAACAAACCATTTTTTTCCTATTATGAATAGCTAATCCTCTAATAATCTAAAGGATACATTCTTTCCACTATAAAGAACCATTTTTGGAATGGAAAGGTTCCTTTCCATATTAAAAATTCTTCTTGGAATTCTTCTTCTTTATTTTTTAAGAGTGTAACCTTTCAAATGATGTGCACAACAGTACAAATGTCTCTTCTAAGCTTTCAGTTACAATAAAGTACAGTAGAGTAGACTGAGAAGAGTCAGTCATGCAAAAGAAAAGAGAAGGCGCTGACATACCTGAAGTTGGCTCGCAGAGATCTGAAGCATTAAGCAGTGCCGTCTGGTTGCTGAAGGGGTTGTTCACCACACAGCTGTAGGTGTTTTCATCCAGATCCTCTATTTCCAGAGCTATAGACAGAGTGTTGTTGAGGT